TGATATAGAATGGACTCCTGCTTTTGCTTACCCAGTTGGTGCCCGCGCAAGATTAAGTGGCTCTCCTGTTCCTGTAGCTCTAGTACAGATTTACCATGGCGACTCAATATACTTATTCAGAACATACACTTTTAATGCGGTCACATTTCCAGAAAAGTTGAGACAAGTAATTGAATCTTCAAAAATTAACAAGGTTGGCAGACAGATTGGTGGAGATCTAAGAAAATTTGAGCAATACAACATAAACAATGCTCCCGGTCAGTTGGATATTGGTACTCTTTGCTATGACAAGGAAATGGCAACTAGAAGAACTTATTCCTTGCAAAGAATATGTGGTGAGGTTCTAAATCTAAATATGTTGAAGCCAGGAGATGTGAGAAAAAGCAACTGGGAAATGGACTTTCTTTCATCTGAGCATATACAATACGCTGCTGTTGACGCTTATGTATCTCTCGAAGTCTACAAAAAGTTAAAAAATTTGCAAACCGTCAGAAAACAAGTCGATATGTCTACCCCGTCTGGTACATTTGTAGCTTTGTATGCTTCATCTGCAGATAAAGCTTTTCCCGCGGCCTTAGGTTACTTACGTGATGTTGTGGAAATCGGTGTAGATTTATAAAATAAAAAACAAGAAAATTATCAAACTTGCAAAAATTAACTAAAGCTTTATTAAACAAATAAAAGGGGGTCTTTATATACACATTATTTCAGACATTGATCACAGATGGGCTGATGACGGTTATGGGTAGATTTATCCAGATAATACTCGGATGTAATGATCCCATATAGAAAGACCATAATGAGATGTCAATAACAATAACAATAACATTCATTCTTAAACTGTGTATGTCTTGTAGCACAATATTCAGGGGAAAATGTAGTTCTTAATTCAGATAGCTGTGGCACCTCAATGTGGCTGATGTAACCTTCATATGTGTTCATATCAATGTTATTATTTAAATGTATGTCTTATACTTGTGTGAAGGATGATATGAGATCAAGCCTGTACATAAAGTAAATGATCAGTATTTAATATAACAGTATCAATAAGAATTATATTTAGGATTATCAAATGGAAGATTTAAGAAGTGTAGATAGAGTCATATATTAAGTATATAGCCTCGATCACGACAGATGTACTGTTAGTAGATTCAGCGGTAGCAAAAAGTGATCAGTTGCTTTACCCAGGAAGTCAGTATTTGATTGGAATGGAGGTGGTCAAGGTTTTAATTCCAGGTATACTTCTGGATCGCTATGTAAACAATTTGTCACTTGATGACTTTGGGGAGCCAAGGTTTATCATTTCGGTTAACAGAGCAAATTTACTTACGGCTTCTGAACACAATTATCTATTGTCTCTGGTACCAGTGGATCCTCCTGTTGCCGATCAGGATGATAGTATTATTGATGCGTCTTCCTCTCCAAACAAATCTCCACCTGTCCCTTCGAGGGTCCTTAAAGATGCATTTCATTTATTAGACCTAATCAAGGTATCTATGAGACATGGATTAAGTAAGGATTTTATTCGCAGATTTCGTGATGCTCTATTTGTGATTGATTCGGATGACAAACAAAAGGTCGAGGCATACTTGGTTTCTATTGGTACCGACTGGAATACAAGATTGCTGGTAGACCCCAAGTTCATTTTTGACCGTGTCAGAAGGTACATTCCCCCACCTGAAGAACTCCACACTATGGTCAAGTTAGTGTTCGATAAATACAAGAACGGTTTATGCTCGAGATCGGGATTACCCCTGTTTGACGACGAGGCTGTAGCCACATCAAATCGTATATTGGAAGAAATTCGTCAAGGTAATGTTTCCGATGTAGTCGGTGGTCCTGCTCTGTACACAGAGATAGGTGAGGATCAACATGGATTGATGAGATATAGATGTAGCAGAGGTACATCATCTGTAGAAGGATCTGTACACTTCAACATTATAAGAAAATTTGCCTCGTATAACGCTGGCCCAAGATTAACTGACGCTGTGCTATCTGATTACAGATTGTTTCACAATATTAGTGTAGGTGCTCGTATTTTAAATAATGATCAATCAATGTACTAACTATATATTTAAGATGGGTAGCATTACGCGTCATGGTAAAGTTCACAACTGGCATTTTTCGCCATGGATATCTCAGGCTATTAACACTTTACGTGTAAAACTCGGTCATGATCCAATTAAAAACTATTTTGGTAACTGTATCGGTGATACATTTTCGTATAGTCAAACCAGAGAAACGTTTGGAATCACGAAGTTACCCTTAGAATTGGCAAGAAAGTATGAAATGCAGCCATTGGATTATGCCACTAGTAATTTTCCAGTCGGTGTTACGCTATCAAGAAAAAGGTTATTTGATTTGTGTATTCTTCCCGTAGTTAAGCTTCCATACATTGATTATTCTGGAAAACAATATTTATACCGCTTTTTATCTCACTGCCAGGGAACTGCTTTTGCTGTGACAGCCGTTCATACTAAAGAAGAGACTGATCTTTTTGACAATCTTCTAGTTAGTCAAAGAGATTTGATTATTTCAGAAAACTCAAACAATATTTTGTTCAACATTTTTGCCAGGCTCTGGTCCAGCTATTGTCAAGCAGGCAATGGTATTTTTTACAAAACTGAAGAGCATTTGTATGCGTATTATAACATTCTCGAAGATAGAAAAAAATACGGCAATACTGTTTTAATGAATATAAACATCTCTCAGTACGTTAGATCAGCAACACAAGATCCGACACGTTGTTATGATTGTCTTAAAGTTTAGGCTATCATTCGACCTGTACAACCTTCTTCTGTAGCTATATCACAGATGTTTAGCGAGCAACGTGATGCAAGGTACCCTTTAGTGACACCAATTCAGCCAAGGCCAGTTACTACTGTAACAAGATTATCAAATAATGTAATGAGACCACAGTATCTTCTGGCAAGACCACAGCTTAATATTTTAACAAGACCACCGCCAACTGTAGCAAGAACTATTATGCCCAATTTGTCTGTTTTGAGCCCTTTACCCGTAGTAACAACTCCTTCACAAAAGAGAAGACGCGAAATGTGTAAAGTCTGCTACCAAATTGATTGTGGAGGTAGATCAAAAAGAATACTCTGCACAAACAAGTGTGGAAAATGCCAGCGTAATAATTGCACAGGTAGATATGTAGTAGGTCGAAATGTCCCAAATATTCCATGCGAATTTAGAAGTTAAAGTGCGAACGCAATGATTAAAGTATAGCATTAGACTTTTCTATTTTTAAAAAATGTACGCTCATTATATTGTTTTACTTAATTTAATAAACTAAAAAAGTTCAGCCCTTTACTGTTACTATTGGCTAGCATGTCGTTTTATTTCTATGGAAGTATGTACTAAAATTAGAACTCGAACTTGCTATTTCTTTCTTCTAAGTGTCATTTTTGCTCTCAAAAACGCTCAAATATGCAAAAAAAAAAAAGGGACGAAAAATTCGGGTGCCCAGGGGCACCCGAATTTTCGTGAATTAAATGCGAAATTCATCGAATTAGATAGCATTCTCAAAAAATACCCCTTACTATGGTCATACCGCCCAGCCAATCAGAGAACTGAAACGTGATATTCACGTGAGGTCACGCGAATATCACGTGAGGGCACGTGACTTGGCTTTTTCAAAAACTTTTTTAGAGCTTAAAAAAAAAAAAAAAATTAAAAAAAAATCCATAGAAGCATAAAAGATAAATATATCAAACTAATCCTGATCTTCTCCAAAGTAGGAGTGGTGCTAGGTTATTATGTAAGGGTCAACTAGACATTTGAGGATTACAAAGTTGTAAATTTCAATATAATTCTAATTCGACTCTCAGTGGTTAATTAGAAGGGAAATAGGTAAATAAGTATTTAATACTAAAATAGAAGATAATGGTTTATTGTTCTAATGTTAAGGGATATATCACAGCCGCGCACGGTTTTGTGAAAATACACACTCAGCTGATATTTTACACATACAAATGTAAAATTACTCAATTGACTGTAAAAATACACAATCAAAAAAAAAAAAAAATATTAAATCCTTTTTTTTCCTCAATTTGGATACAAGAATATTTACAAGTCATCGTTTATTAACCCCTCTTCAGAAAAAAAAAAAAAAAAAAACGTAAAGGTAGCAACCGACTACAGTTCACGAAGAGAGAAAGCTGGAGGCCAAACAACCTTAAAGATATTCAGTGAATTCGAGTACTGGACAAGACCAACAGCTTAAAGAATGTCGCTTACTGTTATCAGGGCTTACTTTCTGTATTTTTCACCTACAGAGCTTTAAGTCAAAGTTGCAACATTATAACTGTGAAACTTCTGCTTCATACCCCCCAAAACTGCTAAGAAATGTTTAGTGCCGCTACAAATATAGGAGTAGATCGCCCTGTGGCTGTTGCGGGCCTTGCAATAAAGAAGACGAGAAGAATAATTCGCTCTTTAAAATAATGTGATAATGAGATTCATAAACCCGTTTTTTTTTTTCTGTCTCTGTTCCTCTCTTTCTTTCACTTTCACTTTTTTTCACTTTCGATAAAATAATTCTTAGATTTTAATTCATGTAATTCACTACAAGAACATAAGTTATAGGTGGTAAACTTGAATAAATTTACAATGCTAGTGAGTGTACCCATCTTATCTTATTAAGAATTGTTAGGTATATTCACCAAGAAATGTTTAAAACATGATGTATCTAGGGTAATTGTGGTTGCCTATGAAGTTTAATACGTCTTTCTGATTTGTATGTTGTATAGATGCTGAGCACTTCACTGTCAATAACTAGGTATTTTAAAAAAATATAAGGCTAATTGTTTTTAGGCTGTTTTTTTTATTTTAGGCTATTTTTTTTTGTTTTAGGCTCTTTTTTTTATTTTAGGCCGTATTTTATCATAGGCTGTTCATTCTAGGTTACTTCTAAGAACTATATGGCTCTTTACCTGTATACATGTAAGTCTGTCAGGCGATTCTGTTGCTTCCTTACCAGGTTATTAGTATGTGAGTACTGTAAATATCTACACGCGAATAATTCCCTATAGCTTTTAGAGATGACGTATAGTATACTTAAAATTGCTTCCAGTTTAAAATCTCAACATAAATCATTTTTAAACAAAATTTAAACGTCTTTTTAAACCATATTTCCTATGTAAGCACCATATCTGTGGTATTTAGCCATATTATACCGTAGTCGAATTAGGTTACACGATCACAATCCACAATAATTGACATTATTGTGACTACTAATAACCTCATATAAAAGCAGAAATTAACTATTCAACTAGACGGATCCTTCTTGTCTTTTTATTATTATAAAAAAACAATAAAGTTATCAAAAGTTTCATTTTATTTCTTGACCCATAATTATCACATTTTTTAAAATGAATCCTTCTGTTACTTTGCCTTCTTCGTCTAGTTCGTCTAGTTCTTCGTCTTCGTCATCCGATGTTGCTCAATTTTCTGACCTTGGTCAAAAAATAGCTGATTTGGGTCTTGTGTCTAAGGGTAAGGACAAGGGTAAGGGTAAGGAAGTAGCTTCTATTGATGAAGATACTGAGATGCCTGAGGTTTCTAAGATTCCTCAACCTGTTGCTAAGCCCGTTAGTAAGTTTGCTCCTTCTG